GATCGAAATAGTTCAATTGTTGTCGTACTAAACCATTCCCGGAGATTTTTTAACCAAGATATCCACCAACACTTCTTTTGCCTTCTATTTTCCTTTGAATTTGAAGTTGCATCAATCTTTTGTTATTCTTCATTATGTGACCCAGGTATTCTTATTTCTTTGTTTTTATAGTCCTCAGTATTTTCTTTTACTTCTACATTATTTGTAGTACATTCACGTTGAATACTCAATCTGCCCATGAAATATTGACTTCATTCCATCACCACGTTCATTAAGAATCTCTCCTCAGTATGCAAGGCAGCATGTTGAAGGTATTGTCAATTATAATGTGAGTTAAATCCCCTCACATCAAGAATACATTTTTTCCACTGGAATTAGGTACTTTCCTGTGACTTTCCACCAGTATGAGTTCCATGCCCCTGGTGCCCTAAGCCCGTAGCACTATGTACCCGCCTGAGAGAAATGTTCTGACCAAATACGGTCTGTCAGCATATAATACATTATTACTAAGTAAATTGTGAATAAATTACTTTTTTTCACAATAATATTATACAATTTACTTAGTAATATTATATGCTGACAGATCGTATTCGCTCAGAATCATTTTTCGCATACAATGGTCTGTAATTCAAACTTAACACATCCATTACAGTGATTCTTTCATCTCTAGACACTTAATCTACACCAAAATGTTACCCACTTACTCGTTTGTTTTTATTATTGTAAATAATCAAAATTTTATTTTTTTAATTTCCTTCTAACTTTCTGAAATTTAATTTTTTCTATAGCTATTTGGAACAATACTTATGGAAAACTTAGTGTTGAATTTTATAACCTTAGATATAAATACAAACAGTATTATGAATTTTGAACTACAAAATAATTTGTAAATATTCATGGTGTTGACAAATTTTTGTCAATATTTGAAATTCAAATGCTAATAAAAATTTAAATTTAATTTCCGGTGGACATTTTTTTTGTGATAAAGATTGACAAATTTGTAAGTAATCTTGTATTAAATTTTCAAATCTTAGATCTAAAAAGAAAATGTTTTATGAATTTCTAGCTTAAAA